TCTTAATCTCCGCTAACTCCATTAATAACGATTGAAGTTGGGAACTGGGCAGACTTGTAGTTATGTGACCATTAAATTAAATAGGATTAAGCCAGAGGAGGAGGTTGGAATTAGTGTTTTCATATTCATATTTTAAATGGCACGAGAAACTTATTGATGCTGCTAATTATTTATGCATTAAATTATACCTTTAAACGATCTGGTAAGTTGTTCAGAAAATTAAACTTGACTTCGTGAGTAAGATGGTTTCGGGAAAATCTACTCTTGTCAAGGAATTTAAAAATAATGAAATGATAATTTTAAAATGTGTAATATAAAAAGGCGCATCTCGCTTTACCACTTTCTCAATTATAAGTCAAAATAAAAAACTCTTTCTAAATCTCCAAATTAAAATAATTAATCAAATATTTAATCACGCCCCCCTTGTGGCTATCAAATTCGGTAACATCGTGAGCGTAGGCTTTTAAATTATTAGCACTATTTGAGACTGCTACTCCCACACCAACTTTATCCATCATTTCAATATCATTAATATCATTACCGAAAGCGATAGTATTATTCAAAGAAACATTATAATATCCAGCTACTAATTTGACCGCTTCCCCCTTGTTAGCATTATAATTACGAATCTTAATTATGTGTTTAGTAGGGTCAGGCACTAAAATCTTGTCTCCGGGTTTTTTGGCTTGCAGTTTTTCTCCCCCATAGAAAGTAATGCTATATCTATATTTTTTTCTCAAAGTTCTTATGATCTCGTCAATCAAACTTGTCTCATTAGGAAATTCGAGAACTAATTGTAAACAGTCTTTATCTCCTAAATGTTGTAAAACATCACCCTTAATAAAAGGATTGCCGTTAAAAAAAACTTCTTGATAGTAAATATCATCACTAGTAGTAATAATTTCTTGGTCAATCGAGTCAACCATACAATTAATTAAGTTATCTTTGATGACCTTTTCTGACAATATTTTTCGGATGATAAAATTAGCGATAGGAATAGAGGCCAAAGTCTCTCTTTTGAAGGGATGATAAATAAGAGCCCCATTATAGGCGATAATAAAAGTGTCTAAACCTATTTCATGGTAAATTGGTAAAATAGAGGGGAGATTGCGTCCACTGGCAATACCTACTCGGTGATGTCTTTTTATTTTTTGCAAACCTTTAACAGTTTCTTTATCAGCATTAGTGTAATCGGGCAAAATAGTTCCATCTAAATCTACTACGATATAATGTTCTTCAAATACTGCGGGTAATTCAACCATATATATTATTTTTTTGTTAACTTTTTGTTTTAGCAGCAAACCATATCTCAAAAGAGAAATTTATAACGATAACATTTTTATAGAGTAAACAACGTCTTATAATTTAAATATCATTTTTCATGTTTCCAGTCAAATCAACTAAAATTAAAAAAATATTTCGTCTTCACAGTAAGCCCCTACACGGCAACAATCGTTCTTTTTCGATGCGAGCCACCAAAAGGAAATTTGTCCCTAATCGACAAAAATTTCTTGTTGATGGAAAAAAATACTATATTCCTACTAAACTGTTTCGTGATTATTGGGCAAAGTTGAAGAAATCTCTTTAATTCTTATTCCGACTGTTTGTGGAATAATTAATTTATTTAATTTGGTCATAACTTCGGCATCCGGTTCCAAGATTCATATTTTACGAATATGAGTTCTTTTTTCGAATTGTTCTTGGGCAGTTTTATGTTTATGAGGGGAAGTAAGCAAAGATAGGAGTTTTTTTTTGGTCGGAAAAGGAATAGGGCCGCGGTAATTTTTTTGTGGTTGCTTAATTTGTTGCATGATAGACTTAGTTGCCTCCTCCACACTTCTTACATCGTAACCAAGAATAGTGATTTTTAACTGGTTCTTTTTCATCATATTAAATAATTTTAGGAAAAATTGCGTGAAATTAAAACTAGAATTAATATATATTTTTGTTCTTCATCTACTTTTTTTTCCAAATTTGAGAGAGATTTTTTTTAAGCCAATCTTTATTTTTTTTAAAGGTTTTAAAGGCTGCGTTGGACTTTTTTTTTTTTTTGGGACTTCTATGGTTTGATTATCCGATTAATTTTTTGTTTGCTAAAAAACTAATTAACGAGTAATGGTGATAGCAAACAAAGTCTAAAATTAGAAGTCGAGTAAGAGAAATTTAGGTCATTCTTAAAGTTAAGTGTGTGTATGGATTTTATGGATATTGTTTGCAATCAAACACTCTTTATCTATTTCTTCTAAAAAAGGGGAAGATAATTGTTTACTGCTTGCTAGGTAAAGAATTTTTTTCGCCCGAGTTATTCCAACATAAAATAATCTTCTTTCTTCGGTTAAGTCTTGGGTTTTCCGGTAAGGTAAAGTCCCATGGTCCAAATAAACAAAAAAAACCACTTCAAATTCCAAACCTTTGGCTTGATGGATTGAGGAAAGTATCAAGTTATTTCGAGTTTTCAGTAATTTTTTGTCTTCAAAAGCAATAATTATCCATTGGCAAAAATTATGGGCCAACTCAGTCAAATTGGAATATTCTTTTCTCCTCCTTTTTTCTCAACTTTGAACAATGTTGAAGAATTGATGAATGTTTTTTTCTCGTTGAAGGTGGTTGGTTTTAGTTTTTAAGTGTTCTCAATAAGCAAAATTGTTCAAAATTCCCGTAAAAAAGTCAATCAGGGTCATCTTGGTATTTAGGTGTTGTTTTCAAGTGTTAACTTTATTAATGAATTCGTGAATTTTAGTCGCTTGGTTCCCAGCGATTCAAACAAAGTTATCATCATTGAGGTAGTAATAAATACTCTTTTTCTCTCTCTGACTATTTAATTCAATTTTTTCAATAGTGCGAACGCCAATTTTTTCTTGTAGCCCCAAAATCCGTAGTAAAGAAAGATTATCTTGGTAAAGAACAGAACGAAGAAAAGCCAAGGTATCCTTAATTTCTTCTCGTTCAATAAATTTAAAAGCCCCTAGTATCTCATAAGGTATTTTTTGCTTGGTTAATTCTTGCTCAAGTCGAACAGAAAGATAATTATTACGATATAAAATAGCGATATCGCTAAACTGAATTCCTCCCCGCGACAGTAAATATTGAACTTGATGCACTACAAAGTGAGCCGAAATTTGGGACCAACGAAATACTTTTATCCCGCCCGGATGCACGGAAGTTAACAAATTATTAACTAAATTGGGGTGATTTCTGCGAACAAAAGAGTTAGCCAACCGGAGTATGTTGCTTGTCGAGCGGTAGTTAATGCTAAGGTAAATAGTCTTCCAATCCTTATCCTTAGTTAGGGAAAAAATTAGTTGGGGAGTTGCTCCCTGAAAGCCATAAATGGCCTGATTAGGGTCCCCGACTAAAAAAACTTTTTGCGGCGGGCTTAAAATCAATTGCACTACTTCTCACTGCGTAGCGTTAATGTCTTGGAATTCATCGAGTAAAATGTGAGTAAATTGTCGCCGGTATTCTTCTTGCACGGAGGGATGTTGGCGGAAAAGTCGGATGGTGTAAATAAGTAGGTCATTGAAGTCCAAAGCCTTGTTGGCTTGTAAGTATTCTTGGTATTTTTGGTATATCTCATATCTCTTTTGGGTTTTTTCGTCAAATTGGTGGGGGTCAGCGGCCAATTTGCCATTTTTTCAGTTACCAATACAAGAAATAACGGTGTTTATTTCTTTTTGGTCGTGGTTATAATTAATTTGCCGGACAACTTTCCTTACTACTTCTTCTTGTTCGTGGCGGTCGTAGACGGGAAATTTGCTAGCAGGGAAGCCTAACAGGTAAGAGTGTTGACTTAAAACATGGAAACAAAAAGAATGGAAATTATAAATGTGTAAGTCCTTTTTGGCAACAAAATCCAATTGGTCAAAAATCCTTTTTTTGATTTCCTTAATGGCTTTTTTGGCAAAGGTCAGAATAAGGATATTTTGCGGCTGGGCTTGCTGACTGGCGAGTAAATAAATGGCTTTACTGACCAGAGTTTTCGTTTTGCCACAGCCGGGACCAGCAATCACACAAACGCGAGGGTGTAGTTCTAATACGGCTTGCTTCTGCTGGGGGTTTAAGTCTTGTAAATAATTCATTTTATTTTTTACTTACTAAATTAGCGGAGAGAAATAAAAACTACAAATAAATTTTTCAATTTACTAATTGTCAAAATATTAATATGACGGAAAGAAAAGTAAAGAAAGGGAAGAGATTCATAAATTTGTCCTTTGAAGAAGAGAGAAAATTGCTAATAATGGCTCGGGAAAAGGTGCGGGTAGTTGCTAGCGGGGACAGTAATTACTCTTTTGGGGAAATTGTTGACCGTCAACAAGCCGAGGCGGCTAGTAAATCTCTCACGGAAGCTGGAAAAACTCCTCCCCAATTGCATAAAGTTTCTCAGGATAAATGCAAACAAGCCGAGGCTGCTCGTGAACTAATTTCTCGCGTGCAATATTTAGCTGAACACTTTGCTCGTATTTATTCTTCCAATAAGACAGGAATTAATTATAAAGTTTTAGAAGCGGTAGGCATCATTTCGTTAGAAAAGGCTATTGAAATGTTTGACTTAAACAGCCCGCACCGCTTCGCTACTTATGCTGGCTACTGAATTCATCAAAGAATCCAAGCCTTTTTTGCTAAAAGTCAACTAATCAACCAGAGCCCTCTTGCCGCTAAAAAAAAAAACGTTGTCTACTACGACGATTATCGCCAACAAGATGAGGATAACAAATCTTACGCTTTGATTGATCGCTTGACAGATGATGAATCAACTGGCCAAGAAGTTCGTAATTGAGATACTAAAAGTCAAATCAATAATCTAATTAATTCTTTACTCACGCGTGAAGAAATTTTGATAACTCGTTTATACTATAAAATTCGCCCAGGAAACTTAACCGACCTTTATTATTTGGCTGATGAAGAAGAAAAAGAAAAATTAAAAAAAGAGTTGAAATTAAATCCAAAAATATTACCTCCCTTGGATTTTTCAGAAAAAAAATGCCAAAATTCAACGATTGTTAAAAAATATTTGGGTTGATTTGGCCGCAAGTATACTATCGCAGAATTGGCTAGATTAACTAACAAACCCGAAAGTTTAGTCAACAAACTAAAAAAAAATGCTTTCCGACACTTACAAGAAGAAATTAAAAAAGAGAAAAATGAAAAATCTTTTCGTTCTTTGCTGACTTAATTGCTTTTGGTTAAGTTACACGGTCTATTCTTCCCGCGGTTGGTTTTCTGCTTCTTTTTTTTATTGACTTGTTCCTTGCCTCGTTCCCTCTTCTTATTCTGAAAGGAACACAGAAAATATTCATCTTTCTTTATAATAAACCCAAATTCAGCATTATAAAAAAACCAAATAACAAGAAGGCAAAGAAAAAAGATTAGATTTTATTACTAGAAATAACCAATTCTAAGAGAGAAATATTCAAATCGGTTTGTTGTTAATAAGTTAATTAATTCTTGTGGTTTTAGTTCTCTCTCTCTCTCTCTCTCCAATTTTTGTAATCTTATCCAGTCTTAATTGATTATTCAACTTACGGTGTTCCTTGTGAAAACCTGATAATTTAACAAAATGATAAACCAAAAAACCAAAAGTTATAAGCATCATTAAAATTTGCCAAGGAGCTACTTTGCTTCACTTTGGTGGATAAGGAAAAAACACAATCAAAAAAGTCACAGAAAAATTAAGAACACTAAAAGTAATAAAACAAATTTCGAACCACCAGAAATGGTAATCACGTTTTTCTTCCAACTCAAATAAAACTTGGGGACTATTCATATTTTTTTACCTTTTATAATTTTAATCTTTATCCTCTAACCATGATAATACTTTCTTTTCAATTTCCTTTCTTTGTGGATGTTGAAAATAATCTAGTCCGCCCGTTGGTAATAATAGGGATTTAGTTTGCTCGAAGGCAACTCGAATATAAGGCTTTCAACCCCGCTCGCTGCTGCTTAAATTCTGAATAAATTTTTTTTCAACTTTCTTTACTTCAATAAAAAAATTTCATAATTGATGGCTTAATTTCTCCTCAATCACATCAATTCCACGAAAGAAAGTAATATCGTTCTTACCAAAAGAAGCATTGTGTAAACTTTTCGCTGGAAAATAGGCTTTAAACTTGGCCAAAGTTTACAAATTTACAGAAAAAAGTTTACAAAATTGATAATAATGTAAACTTGCCATGTCATTAATTCACAAAAAAAAAACAAAATTATCCTCACTCGATATTAATCCATTATCAATAGCCAAATATTTTTACGAAAAAGGAATTGAAACTAGTTCTATTATGCAAGATCTTCTTTATTTATCTTATCTAGAAGTATTAAAAAAGGAAAGATTATTTCTTTTTGAGGAAGAATTTCAGGCTTGACAACCCGGACCGACATTAGACTCGGTTTTTTCTACTATGTCTAAATATTTTCAAAAAAACGAGACCTACGAGGGTTTATTTGACAAATATCCTAATATAGACAACGAAATAGTTATTAAGTATTTGGAGAGGATATATCAACAATACAAAGAGCATGAGTCCAAAAGAAGAGTGATGAGTTTTTATGAAAAATCCAAAGATAAAGCATGGAGAATAACTAGAAGATCGTTGGGTGATAGTTCCGATTATCGACCGATAAAATTACGAACTCTTGCTGATAATTACTTACGAAAATAAAAAATTATGGCCAAGACTTTTTTTGATTTTAGTGAAATGGTTGTTGGTTGTCTTCACGAGCAAGGTTTCACCAATGCCGTCAAACAAAACCAACTTAAAGCAATGTTGGGCGAGTTGTTGCAAATAGTTCAATTTTTTGGTGATAACGATTTTGAGGAAGCTGTCGGGGAGTTGGATAACTGCCACGAAGTTAAACCAGAATACATGAAAGAGAGAATAGGCAAGTTGCTTGGTTGAAAAATGAAATATATTGAAATCTTAAAAAGAAAAACAGTTTGACAAATTCCTATTGGTGAAGAATCCCGCTTATTCGGCGTGCTAGCCAAAGCTAAATATTGGGGAGCCACTAATATTTTTCAAATTTTACTATTTGATCCTAATCATAATGTTTACCGGCCCAGCAGCAAAGAACTTTTCCCAATTATTAAGAATTCCGTTTGCCTTTTCAGTGAAGAGGACGAATGTGAAGAAGTTTGGGAACGCAAGAAAGTTGCTAAAAAGTAATGAAAAAGCAAAATGAGAATGTTCTGACTTTAAACCAATTAACTGCTCTTTGTGAAGTTCCTTCTGGTGTTCATTTAACTCTTAAGCATGATAAGATATTAGAATGCGTTTT